AACCCACAACTGATCATGGTTAAACTAAGGAAGCTACTTCTGTATAACAAACTGACCAGTATAAGTACATAAATAATTAAACAAGAAAATTAAAACCCACAACTGATCATGGTTAAACTAAGGAAGCTACTTCTGTATAACAAACTGACCAGTATAAGTACATAAATAATTAAACAAGAAAATTAAAACCCACAACTGATCATGGTTTAACTAAAGAAGCTACTTCTGTATAACAAACTAACCAGTATAAGTACATAAATAATTAAACAAGAAAATTAAAACCCACAACTGCTCATGGTTAAAAATGTGTTAAGTAATCAAATGCTTTTCTAAATGATAAGAATGTTTGATGTTACAGGTTTGATACCTGCAGTTCATGTTATTAGAGATCCTCTTAATGTGGAGAGAGAGAAGTTTTAGTTAGAAATATGGTTCAAGTGTCCTTGGAAATCAATCAGTCTTCATGTTGAGTATTGTTCAAGTTTAAAGAAATGTATGTCAGATAATTGTGATAAATTAAAATAGAACATGATTGGCAGGTGGCTTCTGGAAGTTGAACATGATTGGCAGGTAGCTTCTGGAAGTTGAACATGATTGGCAGGTGGCTTCTGGAAGTTGAAGCTTTTTATCAGTTGAGTAATTATATTGTATGTCAGGATTTAGTCCTTTACACTTGACAATAAACACTGAAGTAACATTGTTACTGGCTTTCCAGCATCATGATGACTCTTTACATTTGCAGAGAAAAACAAGTACGGCATGGGGGAGTAATGTATGTCATCATGTAGGTGTGTAGATCACATTCCCATGTGTAAAAATGTATAGGTACTTCAAGGTTCAGATGATGATTACTTGTAGTTGGTAACAGCACATGTATAACATGTTGTTTTAATATGTTTCATACGGTACATTGCTTAGAATCAATTACACAAGTTCCACCTTTGTTAAGCCTTTTGATAAAGAATGTATTGATAGATTTTAATACGTAGACAATAAGGTTAAAGAAAACACATACAGTGATATTACATTTAATATTTAGGAACAACAACTCCTTTTTAAAATTTCAAATAGCCACATCAAAGATAATAGCATACACCGATAAGATCAAGTCTTTCACTGTCACGAGACGTTTGTGTGATCCTCAAAGTGTGATACTAAATAAATGTTCTCATAAATAGGTATGCAGTGCAATCGATAAATTTATAATTTATTACAAAAAATTTAAGTATTGCAGATTAATTTGCAAGTTGTAGAAATAATCATTTTTTTCAATATTTACAATCTAGGGCCATATATTTTAGATAATTACGTCTGGAAATATTTTTAGGCTAATGTGACTTGTTTAAGTAATTGTGCTATACTACCTGGGGATTTTTTATGTAGCTCTTAAGGGTGTCTGTAAATGTAAACCTTGCATTGGAACAGTTACCTATGAACCTTAAAGTGTTGTTTATCTGTAAATGTGACATTGAAAGTAGATTCTGTTCCTAACAGCTGTTTGGATCTGAGATACCTTCCCTACTAGGTTATATTCTGTCTGTAATTTGTACGTTGTGCTACATGTGTGTTAGGTGTAGCTGTTTGATGTTGTAGGGGTACGTGTATTTCATACAAGTATGTGTTTTAATACTTCACATCCATTTTGTTCTCTTGTTGTACATTCTATAGTTGATTATTTTGTAAAATAGATTAACGTTTAGAGTGTGGTATGAGATCCAACATATTTTTTACGTATTAATGAACTCGTATTTTGGACCAGGTATTATATCAGGAGCACTGTTACAGCTGAAAGTAGAATTTCAACTCAACTGTGTCTGGCAAGAATTGGTTGTGTCGTCCCTGTTGTGTGGAGCATTTCTGGCTTCTTTGGTGGGAGGTGAGTATTAGATTTGCCTAGAACGTACCATCAGTAACGAGTAAATTTCACTTTACTTTCTTCTTCTTTTTTTTTGATAGATTCTTAAAGGGCTTTTAATTAACCCATAAAAATATTTAAGTAAATTTTTGGTAAGCTTAATAGCATGTAACCTTCAAATTACTGACTTGTTTTTATACAGTAAGCAGTGGTAGATGGAATTAAGTACAATATTGATATTATTTTCACATAAAATTCTTTGTGGGACTCGTATCATTCTCTTATAAACAAAATTATGGACTCGCAAACAAGTTGTTGCAGAAAAATTGTTTAAAAGACCAGGGGGTTCATACCAAACTCTTTTAGAAAAGTTGTCCGTGATACAAACACATCCATATGCCAAGAAAGCACAATTGAACCATATTATCTGTGCTACTTGTCCGTGATACAAACACATCCATATGCCAAGAAAGCACAATTGAACCATATTATCTCCCTCTTAATTTATT